ACAGCGTTTCATCTTTGAACTCTGCAATTTTAACTTTGCCCCACTGTGGAGTGATGCTCAGCTAATATGGCCTTGTTCTGCAACAACTTTAACACAGGGATCATTATTAGGTACAATGCTGACTTCTTACTCAAAACACTATCCCAGTGAATTATGTGATGCTTTCTCAGGGGTATAGTCTTTAGATTTCAACTATGCCTCACTAGGAACAAATCGATCATCATTTCATTGTTTATTTATCAAAAAAGAAAAGGTGAGAGCCATAAATGATAGATTTTTTTTTGCCCAGATTCTGCTGTGTATTTACTGTCATGTGTACTGGATATATGAGCATGGAGTTAGTGCCTTTTAAATCATGTAACATCTCTAAGGAGGACTCAGTAGTCAGATCTACAATATTTTCACCCAAGAGGATACACCCAGTTCTAATCAAATTATTATGAACATTAAGGTTAATTGGTTAGCAATTTGGCACTTTCTGATGGGCCATAACTGGCTTAACTGACAAATCCCTTCAAGGAATCACAGGAATCAAGGTCTGAAAGGATGCTTGATGGCCACTTCATGACATGCTCTGATAAGCCAGGTTCAACAGAGAGCATCTCTGAAGGTTATTTGTTTTCCTCTTCCCACGTGTATATTTTTAAATATGCCACGCTTCAGCTAACTGGCTTAGCATCCACTGGTAGCCCCCTCTCACAGCTCCTCTTCCACTCTCCCAGCTCCTCCCACCTATTGTGATCAGTTGATCAGCACCATCCCAGAGGCGCTGAGTGGAAGCAAAGAATTCATTTAGTTTTTCCTTAAAAACCTTATTGTCAATCAATTGTTCAGTGGCAGAACTAGCTGTTTAGCAGGGTTCCTGCTTCTGATGTACTTTAAAAAATTGTTATTACTTTTTGAGGTTTTGCTTACCTGTTCTTCAAATTCTTTTTTTTTTTTTTTTTTGCCTTCTTAATTATATTTTTACTCTACAGATTTTATGGGGATAGTTGAAATCCCCCATTATTATTGAGTTTTTTTTTTAATTTAAAGGCTCTTTAATCTCTATTAGTATTTCACAATCACCATTACCACCTGATCAGGTGATCAGAAATAGATCCCTTATGCTATATTCTTATTATTAGATCATTGAATTACTGTCCATAAAGATTCTATGGAACATTTCGGTCGATTTAAGATTTTCACTTCATTTGATTCTGTGCTTTCTTTCACATATAATGCCACTTCCCCATCAGCACAACCTGTTCTGTCCTTCCAATATATTTTGTATCATGGTATTTCTGTGTCCCATTTATTTTCCTCATTCCACCAAGTTTCTGTGGTACTATTATATTAATATCTTCGTTCCTCATACAAGGCACTCTAGTTCACACATCTTATTACTTAGACTTGTAGCATTGGTGTAGATGCACTTTCAATGCTTGTCACTTTGTAGTGGTCTGCCATTTCATAGTGTAACTGAATGGGACTCTTTTTCATTTGACTCTTTTAAATCTGATCTCACCTATATTTTATCCTTTTTCCAGCCTCTCTGCCTTCTATCTCTTACATAGCAGTCTAAATTTGGCCTCCAAGACCTCTCCAATCCTTTGGTGTACATTGGTACCTACATGTACCATGACCACCAGCTCTTCCTCACCCACTACACATACAAGTCTTTCTATATGTTTTGAGACAGCTGCAACCTTCACACCAGGCACAAGATTCCTGGACATTTCTGCCTCCTTTCCTCAGGAAATACAGGGAACTGCAGCTGCCAGGAATGTTCCTTCTTCCCCTGGCATTGCAGCCCATTTCAGATGGGAGAAAGGAAATACTCCACAACATTAATTTCTGCAAAATTCTGCATTTGCGGAAAAGTGCGTCTAGATTGGCCACGGACGCTTTTCCGCAAAAAGTGCTTTTGCGGAAAAGCGTCTGTGCCAATCTAGACGCTTTGTTCCAAACATGCTTTTAATGGAAAACTTTTCCGTTAAAAGCATTTCCGGAAAATCATGCCAGTCTAGACGTAGCCTACATGTTTAGTGATTTATCCAGTCCAGTTGGAAATGCCCATGAAAGAGGAAAAGGCCCCTGGAGATTAAACTGGCCAGGAAAGGATTCTGAGAGGAAGAAAGAGAAAGACACATGAAGGGACTAGTGACGGAAAAAGAAGCAGTCATGTTCCTTCTGCTGCTGTGACATTGGGGAGTAGTTGCCCAAATTATTCATGATTCTAGGAAAGGAGTCCCTCTGTTAGGCCCAGACCTAGGACAACTTCATGTGCCCTCCTGATGGCAGTCCTGCAAAAATCATGTCTAATGTACAGGGAAGGGAGGCTGGGTGGAGCTGGCTGGAGCCAGAATACAAATGCTCATTAATGTTGCCAATGTAGCACGCTATATATGAGCGCCTATTTAAAGATGATTACATCTTCTTTTCCTGGCTTGGATTTCTTTGTTAATTAACTTGTGTTGAGTTCCAACATTTCTATGAGTCTGTGATTAAACTGCTCAGGCCAAATTAATCCCTGGAATAACTGATAACTTCAGTGGCATTTTAGTAGAGATAAAATTGGCATGTGCAGAAACATTCTCTTCCTTGGCAAGCTTTAGTAGCTGGAAGATGGCTAGGGAAAAGATCCAGTGCAATACATTTCAGTGCCTGTAAACAATGGATTAATGGCTCACCTCCGTAATTGTAAAACGTCCGGCTAAATGTCACCCCTCCTGCTGTCTGCAAGTGTTTGCAGTGGAATCCTGCTGTGTATCTTTCCGGTTGCTTCAGATGTGTTCTCACACTATTATAGTTTCTAAGCAAGCCAAGCTAATGTTAAGACATTCTGTGAAAACATTTTAATGCATTTGATACTGTCCTCTTCTTGCTATGAAAATAGGTCAGGCAATAAAAGTATGTCTGCTGCGTGAAATCTTTAAAGCAATAAAATTCCTAATCCTAACAAATGCAGCTCAAAATTCAGAAGTAGCTTGCTGCTTTGTTAAAAAATATTGTTCTTCCTATTGCTATTTATTGAAATTTGGCAGTAAATAAGATGGGAATTAGGCTCTTAAGCTGACTTCAGACCAAGGCAGCTCCATTGATCAGCTGAGTTACTCCTGATGTACACTGGGGTTTGAATAAGATCAGAATAAGAACCAGCATATTTTGGCATGATCTGATTTCCAGCAAACATTTGGGCTAGCTTTTCATACTGTATTGCAACTTTTGAGCAGAGTGGATTGCTTGGTGATAGTCACATGGCTGAAACCATAGGGGTTTTCTTCTGGTTCCGTCATTTACACACTTATTCCAGGCTTTTTTCCCATGTAGACAAGCCTCCAGAAATCTAGTGTCTCGAAGACACACCCACCTCCCTTCTCTCCCTTAGGAAATTCCACTGCAATGTGATGAAACAAACATGGACATTGACACACAGCACTAGGGAACGTAGTCATGTAACTGAGCCAGTGAAGTGCATCTGCTTCCCGATCAGCTGTTGATGCAAAAATACACCCAAACCAGACCATGGTAATTAACATTAAACTTTTACAAATGCACTAACAGCTTCATCTCAGTGAAAACTACATCAATCTGTTCTTAGAAAGTGCTTTGGGGAAGTGGCACACATAGATCATCTACACATCAGTCATTAATAAAGCCTCACAACATCCCTGGGAGGTAGGTAAGTAGTATGGTATCCATGTTACAAGTAAGGAAACTGAAGCATAGAGCTATTAACTGATTTGCCCTGGGCCACAGGCCAAGTCTGTGGGAAAAATGAGAAGAGAACCCAGGAACCTTGACTTCCAGTCCCATATTTTAACCAATAGGTACATTTATTCTGGATAAGCAGATCCACAGCAGCTTTTTGCAAGGCCTCAAAGCCTAGAAAAACTGACAGGCTCTTGCAATGGGCTAAAAATAGAGCTTTTAGGCTCAGGCTGGAGCCTGGCTCCAAAATCCAGTGAGACGGGAAGGGCCTGGAACCTGGACCAAACATCTGCACTGCTATTTTTAGCCACACCACACAAACCCAAATCAGTTGATCCAGGCTCTAAGACTTGCTGCTGCATTTTGTTTTGTTGTTCTGCTGTGGAGATGTGCCCATCATACTTTTTACATTGTGAATATTATATTTTACATGTAGCTTGAATATACAGGTTGAATTTCTCTAATCCGTCGCTCTTTGGTCCGGCAATATCCGTGATCCAGTATGATTTTAGTTAGCTGGATGTCCATTTAGCATGGGCATGGCCAAGTTCCCACAGCCCATAAAGTTTGTTTACAGCCACCAGTTCTGACTCTGTGTTCTGTGCTGTTATTTGGCTCTAATTTACCCCTAAATGTCTTCTGACATCTCAGTAAGCAATGGAAGGCTACATCTACACTGCACCTCTTTTGCACAAAAGTCTGTGCAAATGAAGCACAAATTAGCATATTGCTGATCTTCATTTGCATAATTAATTAGGGTCCGTTTTTGCGCAAGAAGCTTTTGAGCAAAAAGGAGCTGTCTACACAGCTCCTTTTTGCACAAAAAATCCCTCTTGCGCAAGAGCCATTCTTCCTCATTTTTTCAGGCACAAGGGAGGTGCAGTGTAGATGTAGCCAAAGTGTTGGTAATGCTGCTAGACAATACTGAACTCCCATGATCTGGCAAACGCTCTAGTTTGACATTGGTTAGGTCTTGAGGGTGCTGGACTAGAGAGGTTCCACCTGAATTTTAATAGATTAGTAGTTGTTTCGAATGGCTGGATTTCTATTGTTAATATACATCTCTTTTAGTAAATGTATGGAAGTAACTCATAATGCGACTGAACCACTATAGTGATATAATTGTGCGGCTAATTCCACCACCCTGATGTCAATGGGACAACGTGCAAGAACAAGAAAAATGCTCTGGATCAATTATGCACGAATGAAGTCAATGGGGATTTGCCACTGACTTCAGCTGGGGCAGAATCAGGCCTGTGTTCCTCAGACTTGCCTGATTCTAACGCCAGTATTCAAATCAAATGAAATTCCTCCACGTGATAATGGAAATTTCTATTTATTAATAAGTGGTGTGAGTTTTGAAAGACAGAACATAAAAAATCAGGTAAGAAGTATTGTTTGCATAATATATTGAAATAAACATATTAAAGTGGTTCAAATATCAGACAGTGCCAGAATATAAATTACACATACCGTTTAAAAAGTACAATAAATAATATTAGAAAGAGCACTAAAGGCCACTTGTATAAAAGTTGTGTTCCCTTGTCAGCCAGAATCTGAAAAGCATTTTTGTAGCATGGAGAAGATTTCAGTGAGCAAGGCACAAATACTAGTAATAATTATATGCCCTAAACTAGAAAACAAAATGCAGTTGGTTATGTCATCTTACATTTTAGCAAGTTCTTAAGAATGAAAATTAGTTCCTACTTCCACTGTTTTGCCTCACTTAGCTGCATGAGAATGGGTAAAAAAACTGGTTGTTAAGGATCAGACCCTGCAGCTGAAATATTCAAAAGTGACTTGTGATTGTGCAGCACCTCAATTTTGGGGGTGACCAACATAAGACACTTCAACGCAGCTTGATTTTCAAAAGTGCTGAATGCTGGTCCACTCAAAATGAAGCCCTACAGGTGTCTTAAAATGGGGCATCCAAAAATCAAGACAACTCCAAATTCATGATTTACCTTGGAGAAAATTTAGGCCTCCATTCCTTGTGCATCTGAACCCCCAAGCTAGACCAGTGTGAGTTTGTGCTGTCTCAGGATGCAAGATCTGACTCTTCATGGCATATTTTGCAGTTACAGGGACAAATTCAGACCTGGTGTCAGTTTCCACTGTAATCCATGGAGTTATAACTGAGATCAATTTGCTCCCTGATCTGCATTTTCTGAGTGTTATAGTGCACACCTCTCCCTATTCTGAGCCATAGGTGGGCCCTTATGCTCACATGAAGTCCATCAGAAGTCAGTAGGATTCCATGCAAGTATGAATAAGCATGCAGGATCCTGGGATACAATTTGCAGTAATAAAAACTTTCAACTATTTCCTCCTAGAACCTTAAACAGTGCAGCAAAGATATGGACAAAACCAGAGCTAACACACCCTAAATGCTTTTTAAGGATAGATCTGACATCCTTCCAGATGCTAAAGTCATATTAAGTTCTATGAGATTGATGCACAGTAAACCACTCTATGATCAAGCCTAAGAAAAGCCAACAGTCATCATTCAAACTTATAATTAAATTTTTCTTAAAGGTACAAACTCCATAAATGGACAATGGAACTGTGTTTGATAAAACTAAATAATTTTTCTTGGCATGTGCACCTGTAACGATGAAACACTGTAAATTTTTACGTAGGGGAAAGGAGTTTAGATGACAATAAAGTAGCAAGGATGGCTGAACAATATAAACAGAGATTACCTTTTCAAAAAATGATATACAGTTTGCCCTTTACTTATTAGAGTGAGTGGAAAAACACAGCTAAACAAAATTGGCCCATTCAAAGAGGAATAATGCTGATAGACTGAATAGATAAATTGAGATTAGTAGTTTGTACTGTAAAAGTCGGACCGTCTCCTGATCCTATTGAAAAAAGAGGTTAACCACTGACTTAAGGGAGAACGGTAAAGCCCTAAATACTTGCCAATTATGGAAGATGAATACAGTGACTCATATTGCAAGAAGCATTGTCAAGCCAAAATAGATGGTTGGTCCCTAGTAGGCTTTCAGAGTTAGCAAAGCATGGATTCAGACATTTCATCTTATTTAAGGTTAATAATGTGTAAACAGAGTCATTTTCAGCCCAGACTCAAAGGGACGCCCGATCTTACTGCAGTTACTGCCAGTAAAACAAACTCCAGGTGCTAAAGGAAGAACGATGTAAATACACTGCTCTGCTATGAAAATGAATGCTGCTTCAGATGTCACTCTCAAATCACATACCGAACAATGCCTCTCAAAGAATGTGGTGTGCCTAGTCTATAAAACAGCGCATGGCTTTTTAAGTAGTGCTTGTATGAAGACTAATAATCTTGAATACTGTCCTTTATGTCACAGAGCACAAATATCATGTCACTGCTATGGTAAATGCAAACATTACATCTATTAAGCCTTCTCCATTATGGTCACATGATTAGAACTTTAGACCCAGTTCTTAAAACCTGTTGAGGCTACTAACTTCCATTTGGAGCCTCATTACCTTTGAGGAACTGGGCCCTTGCGGCTAGTTACATTGTCTATTTAGAAAAGGCACCAGGGGTTAAATTTTCACACGTTCAAATTTTCAGAACCAGATTTCCAAATGTCTTCCATTTTATGTGCACAATCTCCCCACCACCATCACATTCGAATGTACAAAAGGAAATGCACACGGGACTATCCTGTAGACAACCTCCTAGCTTGTATATGCAAAGACTGGGTCCGCACATACAAACCTTGGATTCACACGATTCTGGTGAGCAGTTTTGGAGGAAAGTTTGGAATTTTTCACTCACAGGGCCAGCACTACAGCTGTTGTAAATTAGTGCAGTTTCATTATGTTGGAAAGGGATATGTGGATTTGTACCAGATGGGAGAAAGCCCATTATGGGGATGTTAGATAAGTACAGAGTAGCTAAGCGTCCTTGCAAATTACTACGCACTTAACACTTAGCAGTACAAATGGCTTCAAGATGCAGAATTTGGTCTGTACAGAAGACTCAAAGTTTGGATGCTTTTCTGGTGAGTAGGCCAAAAAAAATATTTAGGAAGTAACCAGCTTTCTTGTTTTATTATTATGCTGCTATCTACTATTTCCTACCCACGGTAACCTTGAGTAATGGGTGATATTTGTACACTGTAAAATAAATTATTACAATAATTGGCCAGTTCTAGGGATCTTTTCTCACTTTCTCCTCAGTCTTTGCTCAGGATAACTTCCATTGATTCAGTGATTTGACCTGGCAAAGACTGAGTGAGGTCCCCTACCCCCTTCTTAGCCCCTAACTAGTCAGAGAAAATAGGCCTGTTTTATTAAGAAATTCTCTAGTTATTATTCAGTGTCCTAATTCTAAGTAACTGGCATGGTCTAATTTTGATAGGCGAGCTACATATTTGAAAATATCTTTATTTTCCACTGGTCAACAACAATGCTACACCTGAAATGATTTATAACAGGTTAAATTGAGGCCCTTTTTGCATGGTTGCAAGCATGTGCTGATACGCAAAAGCAGCATTTATATACACCCAATCTCAACCCAATTTCTGCTCCGTGCAGAGGACTTCTGCATAGATTACTTCAAAGGGAAGAGGGAGCTGTGCCAGATCTGTGTGGTGTGCTGGATAACACACATTAAAATGTGCTTACCATGCCTCCTGAAAGCAGAATTCCCACCTATGTTACAGAAGACCCCCAAATATCCACCTTGTAGACTTCAGAGGAGCCCAGCAGTTATGCCCTGGCTAGCCATGTGTTTCATTACAATCAAATATTAAGACACAGCCCTAACTTGACTTTAAGAATGTCATTACTATTTCAGTGTGTAGCTGCCTTAGCCTTACCCTGTGTTCCCAAAAGCTATGCATTGTTTCCCCCCTTTTAAACAGCAACATTCTCCAATGCTGCATATCAAATTAAATCAGGGCTCACAGTCCAGTGTTGAAAGTTCAACTTTAAGGCAATTCTGCTAATACGTATAGACATTATGGGGTACTCCTCTCTTCCTCCCCCTTAAACATGCAATATTGGTTAAATCAAACCTTTACCCTGACTTCGTTTGTTTCCTTCAAATAATGTCCCCTTAAGATTAAAGTATTCACAGCTTGTTTCCACTTTTTTTTTTTAGCATTCTGTACTCTATTTCACATTCTGCTTTTTTTTAAAGAAGTACAGTAACTCACTAAAATCAGTACAGTGTCTAATAGTCATCCGGATTTAACACTGAAAAGGATTTGTTTTCAATTACTCTACTGGCTTAGGGCAGGACTGTGGCATGTAAAGCCTGAACTGCAATGCAGAGGGATGAAATAGGGGAGGGATGGAGCGAGGGGGGAGTACAGAGGTGCAGCCAATGGTAATCATTCTCACCCAAATTTTCCAAAGCGGCCTCCAATTTTGGGTGCCTTCAGCTTTGGTTGCTCAGTTTTAGGCAGGTTTTCAGAGGGGCTAAGCATTCACAATGCCAACAAGAGCTGCAGGGGCTTTGCCCCTCTGAAAATCAAGAGTATGTGTCTTGTAATTAATAACATGCCATTTCGATCTGTCACAGAGCAGTGCAACAGTATTATAAACAGAGGTAAAACTTTTCATTCAACCATAAAACAAAAGGGACAAATCCACTTCCGTGCACTAGTGTCATGTAAAGCACAGCTTCAAGTTTAGTGCAGGTCCTTCCTAGAATCACTGATGCCATCCAGAAAACTTGTGGAAAATGCCCTAATTGAAATAGATTCTACCATTTGTCATCTATTTTCTCTGTGTCTTGAATTTGGGCTGTGTAATTGAACCTAATACAGAACATTTGTTGAGATCAATAGCTGTTCTGTACACAAAACGGCTGCAGAAATCAGGCCGGATGTCACTGCAGCCTGTAGCCTAAGAACATCTCCACAAGCAGAGCCCTCTCCTTAGCTGATGTAATTGGCTGAGCTCTGTTTACTGTTGTGGAGCTAGGCCAATTTCCACTAGGTGAGGATCTGTTTAATTCTCAGTTTGTCATCTGCAGTCATTGACAGGACTGGGATAAAACGGCACCACTTCATTGATGAGAGTGGAAGTAAAATAATTTGCACTAGCTGAAGACCTGCCCTTGAAGTGATGGATTAGGATTCAGGTGAGGGAACAGCAGCACGAACAGATAAACTCTTGAGGGGGGAAAAAAACTTATATTCTTTTAAATGGATGTGAAGAATGAGAAATGACTAAAGCCCCAATTCTCTTCCCCTCCAAAAATCTAAAATACAAGTGGAATGGTTCCTAAATAAAATGATTGTCATGAGGTATCAGCAACTCTGTGAAGTCTCAATAAATAGACACAAGCGTAGATGGGAAGAAACCAACAAGGAATCTTCCCCTGAAGGACTGTGTGTAACAGGCATACGCGAGACCCAGCTGCAGGGATACACTGGAGAACCAGGCCCAAGTATTTCATTACACTGCTGCAGGGCTGGATGTGCTCACAATGCCCAGCTGCATCCTTCCAGGACAATACCAACACACAAACAACGGTCAGTTCATTGTGGCTTCCTTAAATCCGTATCCAGTCAAAGCTTTCCATGGGCCCAAACCGGATGATCCTGTCTTAAGAAACACATGGTGTCTGGTTCTCATGGGGCTGCACAGTGAAAGAGAAGAGCAAAGCTGGCTTGCTGTCGGGAGGGAGGGCAGGGAGATGCACACCATAAAAGGGCGCAGAAGCAGCTGCATAGATCTGCATGCTCATGGACTCCAGGCAAAGCATTCCTCACTGGCAATGCTAGTGCCACGCTGCCCCAGGCTCTGCTACAGTACGCAGTCTGCACCTTGGCTTTCACTCTGTTCTCACTCAATCAGACTCCCACAGAAAAGCAAGGAAGAGCTTTGCTTAAGGAAGGACCGCACAGAACCCCAGGGTGTGGGCCCCACAGCTTAGCATAAATGGCTAGACAGCCCCATGTGGAAAACTCACAATCACGCCCTGCTTGACCATTCTTCACGCAGCAGTGTTCCCTAGAGTCTGTGGAGGATAACACAGAACTGTGGTTGCCACCTTTCAATAAGCCTGTGCTGGCAAATCAGTACTGCACAAGACAGGTTGTTGTCACAATATACACAGCAATTACAGTAGTGCCCAGCACCAACTTTCTTATTAACTGCCAAAGATCAAGTAGGAGTCACTGCGATATCTTAGTCTCTGTGTTTCCTATCAGGTTCCAGCGAGATGATCTATTTCACAGTAACTCAGTAATCCTTGTTGGCCACCACACTAATACTCAGGACCAATTGCCACTACTAGTCCCTTGCCAGGTGTGTATGGATTAACAGAGGCACACGTCCTCAAGGTTAGGCTCCTAACTTCCACTGAAATCAGTGGGCATTAGATACGCAGGTACCTTTGAGGATGTGGGCCAGAGTCTGTGCAGTTCCAGTACGTGAGGAGTGAGGGCACTAGGATCTGGTGATGAGGTACATCAAGTCCAGGATCCCATGCACAGTCTGGAGCCCTGCTTCCCAGCCAGGTTTAGAGTACACGTCTTGGTTCTACGTTCCACTGTCCCCTCAGTCACGGTGACTCCAGCTCTTAGGCTGGAATGGACTCCAAGCAGGCACTCCATTGTTGCCTTAAGGGAAAGTTTCTTTCCTTACTCCCTCTCAAAAATGTGCAGTTCCCTGTGGAGATAGCTGGACGGAGTCAGGGAATGGATCTGTCCCGAGTTGCTCGAGGCTGGGTCCATGATCATGGCATGGTTTACAAACATGCTATTAAACATGTCATATATTTACTTAGATTGGTCCGTTTACACAACATCCTGCCAACAACCTGAACATGGAACTCCCCTTGAACAGTTTGTTGGACTTCGCACTCCTAATGTGCCTTACATCTGAGAGTCTCAATAGGCATTAAAACAGGGGTGGGGAACCTCTGGCCCATGGCTAGATCCAGCCCGCCAGTTTAATCCAGCCCTTGGGGAGGGAGTCCAGCAGCCGTGAAACACTGCAGGGAGTTCCGGGGGCTGCTTTAAAAACTTCCCCCCACCTCCACTGCAGCATGGCCGGATACTTCTGATTCCTCTTCTGCACATGGGAGAGGCGCGCGCAGGAGATTTGGCAGGAAAGAGAAGCCTCATGTGCTGGAGGAGCCCTGTGGCGTTTTGGTGAGGTGGCAGCAGAAAAAAGGCTGGAGCTGTTTCCTGGGCTCGGGCAGCTGCAGAGGCTGCCAGCAAAAGGAGTTTTGCTGGCAAGGAGGCTTGTGGGACCAGAGGGGGGGACCGTCCCAGAGTGGGAGGGAAAGGAAGCCCGAGCCCCTTCCTTGCATGGGGCACCTTTTCAGAAGAAGGGGAGGCCACAGTGGAGCCAGCTTTCCCCACCCCCCACCTCTGCACCCCTTTTCTGAATAGGCTGGCTGCAGCAGGGAACAGCATCTGGAAAACTGGAGACATGTTGCCAGCAATGCCTCCTTAACAGTTAAGGAGGTATGTGGGACTGGAGAGAAGGCGGCCGGGGGGGGGGGGGAATCCTTTGCAGGACTAGGAGGGAAGAGAAGCCCCTTCAACCTCTTCCCTGCATGGGGTGCCTTTAGGGAGGAAGGCTTGGCTTCATCTGGGCAAGCTCCAGAACTCCTTTCCTTCAATAATGTGGCTGCAGCAGGGAACAGTGTGTGGTAGCTCCACCAAAAAAGGTTCCCGACCCCTGCTTTAAAACATCAATGAATTGAGCCTTCACCCCTATGTGAGGTAGGGAAGTATCATCCCCATTTTACAGATGAGGAAACTGAGGCACAGAGCCATTATGTGACTTGCCCAACATGACTTGAGTCAGTAAAAGAGCTATGAATAAAAGCCAGGAGCTCCCTACATTCAAGATACTTTCTTTTGCAGCTATTTGTTTTGTATCAATCAAGGTAGGAAGTTTGGGGCTATTACATATAAATAGAACTAGCAAGCTATTTTCTGCACACTAAGATTGATTATAATCACTCTGGTGGTGGTTTTATAACCTCTGAGCAAGATTTTCAAAGCAGCAGTCAAGGGGATGTAGATTTGGAACTTGCATTAATGAAATACATATTTCCACTTCTTCCACGTAGCTTTGCAAATCTCAAAACTGTCCCTAATTTCCATCTTACACTGCATTTGATACACTGATACTTGTATGATAGGATACAGAGAAGTCTTTCAGCTACAGAAATTATGTTAAATCAGTAATATACTTTGACCTGACCTTCTCCCTGCTAAAAATCCTGAAAGATTTTGGCTAGTTTGGATAGAGATTTACTCACTTGCATTGGAAAATGGGGCATTGATACGGCTCTGATAATTTATATATATTTCCACATATGAACATTGCTCTTGAAACTATTTTCTCTTTGTTGCTCTGTTTACAAAAAGTAGCATGAGCCATCATGTCTTGCCTGGCGTTGCTCTAACCCTCATTATAGTGAAGAACATCAGATAGATATGTTTCACAGAAGAAATTAGCTGGACCATTTATATAGTGTAAAGTCATGCAAACCATGCTCAAAACTACGCTGCTTAGTTTTGGTAGCATGAAAAAAACTGCATTAGTAAATTGTATGAAATGGTGCAGAATGACTACCACTAATATCACATGCATCTTATGCAGCCATTGGTGTTTTGAACTAGTAAGCTTTGGGTGTACAGTAAGTGAGATATACAAAGTATGTTTACATCACATGGAGAAGTCAACCAGTGACCCCCCTCTCCAACCACTTTTAAACCGGCTTGTTTGCAGGGGTCCATATTGAATCTGAAATCCCATCCCCTGTTGAAGACAGAGGCATGGAGCCACTTGGTGTAAACGGGTCAGTATCTGTATCTGTTTCACCCTCTGCTAGGTAGCGTTTCTCTCTCAACCAGCTGGATCCCCCGTTTGGACCAAAAGGGAAATCATCTTTATCTTGGGAGATACTGAATCCACTTGGTGAGCGCTCAAGTTCCTCATGGTTGACGGAGAGAAGGGATAACGGGGTGTCACTGTCTCTTGTCAAGCTTCTTTTCTGCCTTGGAGATATCCTGTCAGAACTGGGGCTTTGCAAGTCCCCTTGGGACCGGTATCTAACCTGGGAGTCAATTAAAGTGAGTATAGGCAAAACTGTTGGCCTTTCAGCATATGAAGTCGAAGAAGGCCTGGCCTGCAACTTGCCAGAGTTTTGCCCACCTAATGAAAAAGGCAGTGAATAATTCATTGGATCCTGTGCTAAGAAACCATATGGACTGACTTTGTGTACTGGAACCTGGTGGAAGTTATAAGGAGTTTCATGAGTGCAAGGCTCTGAGTATTTGTAGATTATGCTTTTCAATTCAGAGTATCTGTTTTCCTCTCTCTTCTCTTCTGTAGGAGAGGCAGCTTCTTTCAATGGACACAACTCAGTGACTTGTACTTGCAGCTGCTCCATATGCTGCATGTGCATATCTACTAGAAAATCCAGTTTCTTCCCCATATCGTGCACCTGAAAAATACCAGTTGTGAGATTCCAAATGGTTCATGGCTGGTCATTAATGCAACAAGTATCAGTTGTTTCCACTGGTACATTTTACTTGGCAATTATATGTTACCACTGGGGTTTGTCACAAAGGCAGCTACAGGAGAATGATGTGGTTTTCTCACTGAAATTGGTGCAAAGTATGCATTAGCTGCTTCATCCCTTCTCCTTAACCTGTTTTATGACTTTATGAACTCCAAGGATGTGTCTAGACTGGCCACTTTTTCTGGAAAAGAGGCTGCTTTTCCGGAAAAATTGCCAGCTATCTACACTGACCGCTTGAATTTCCGCAAAAGCACTGACGATCTCATGTAAGATTGTCAGTGATTATGCAGTAATACTATGCTGCTTCCGTTCGGGCAAAAGTCTTTTTCCGAAAAACTTTTGCACAAAAGGGCCAGTGTAGACAGCAGAGATTTGTTTTCGGCAAAAAAGCCCCAATCGCGAAAATGGTGATTGGGGCTTTTTTTGCGGAAAAGCAAGTCTAGATTGGCCACGGACGCTTTTCTGCGAAAAATGCTTTTGCGGAAAAGCATCCTGCCAATCTAGACGCGCTTTTCCGAAAATGCTTTTAACGGAAAACTTTTCCGTTAAAAGCATTTCCAGAAAATCATGCCAGTCTAGACGTAGCCCAAGGGTGTGTCTAGACTAGAGGAGTTTTTTTCGAAAAAAGTGGCCTTTTTTCAAAGAAAAAAACAAAAAAAATTCCCTTCCACCTAGACTTATGCCTACATTTTTATGCCTACATTTTTCCATCCATAACATAAACTGCTGATGCAAAAGGTCTCCTCCTTTTGTTGCACACACAATCATGTATTTAGAAGTGCAAGTACAGTGATCTGCATGTACAGTTTAACTGTAGGCAGAAAATAACACCTGTCATGAAGGGTGTGTCTACACTGAACCCTTAGCTCGAAATAAGCTATGCAATCTGAGCTATGCAAATTGCGTAGCTTATTTCAAGTGTATTTTGAAATAGTTTATTTTGTAATTTGGAGCTGTCTACATAGTGCCAAATTTCTAAATAAACTGCTATTCCGAAATGTCCCTTAATCCTTGTGGAACAAGGTTTACAGGGATGTCGGAATAGCACGCCTGTTATTTTGAAAGACATCTAGAAATAATGGGTGTGCTGTCAAGAAGTGGAATAGCTATTTCGAGATACCAAAGTATCCCAAAATAGCGCTGCAGTGTAGACGTACCCAAAAAGTATCTGCTAGAGGAGTATAAAGTACAGCCAGATAGTCATGGATAGCCTCAAAGCAAAGCACCAAAGTAGAACAATGATGAATTTTTTTGAGTTAGTAAATCTGGATTGAAACTTAATGGTGTAGGCCCATCTCACCAACCAAAATTAAAATGCACAAACTGCTTTGTAAAACACACAGCACTCAGTTGCTTAGTAGTTTCATGGAGAACTAACATACAAGTCTCTCTTTTTAAACTGCAAATACATACCTGTCTTTCAACTTTAACAAATTTGCCCATCATGCTTTGGTCTTCTGTATCTGCTGCGGATGCTTTGGCTATAAATTGATCATTTCTAAAAGGAACCAACAGTCTTGTTAGCAGTGAATATTCCATTTCATTACAATAAGTTATTTCTGTTGTATAAGACAACAGAAGTAAATAATAATAATGACCCTTATTTATTTCTATTATATTAGCACTTCGGAACCAGAATGATAGACCAGGACCCTGATGTGCTAGGCACTGTACAAACACAAAACAAAAAGATGGTCCCTTACCCGAACAGTGTAGAAAGCCAAGTAGATATAGAAACCTAGGCCTGACTAGCCACCGCATCATTCCTTTGGTTTACTTTGGTTTAATGGTAACTGTAGTGAGGAGGCCTGGTCTGCCTTAAAGAGTGACAGGGAAGGATCACAACACGCCCCTGGATGGGCTGAACCAGGAGAACCACATTCACTCCTCCAGAAGTGGAAGGGTGGGACAGGAAGGGGAAGTATAAAGGGTGGGACTTGCAGCTCAGTGAGCTGGGGCCACCGGGGAGAGGAACACATCCCTCCTTCTGCTGGAGCCCACAGAGTAACTGCCAGGGCAGCCTCCTGAGGTCTGTCTTTAGCTTCCAGGACTGTTGGCTAAAGACAGTCCAGGAGTTGTTGGGGCTGCCTCCTGAACACTGGCTGGTTCTCCGTGGGCTGCTGGCTGATTCAGGTGCTGAGGAGCTACTGGGGCCCCACCTGTGGACTGGCCAGAACTCCCCAAGATGACAGACACAGTACACCTGAGGGGGAGGATACGAAGCAGCCCTGGGAAACCAGACAACAGTCTGGGTGGGAGCTGGCCTGATACAAGGTCACCATGTCGTGGGTGGATTCCCACTAACCCAGCAGTAGACCACTCTGCCACCTTGGGCCCTGGGTTGGAATGCAATGGAGTGGGGCAGGCCTGTGTCCCTCCTGCCACCCCACCACTGGGGAGGCATGACTCCCCCTCCTTAGACCATGAGGCCTGTACTCCTCAGGCATCCCAAACTCAGCCTCTTATTCTGTGCTTGGTGCTCACCCTTACCTGGCCACTCTGCCCTTACAGAACCTACTCATTGCTGGCTGTCCCACTATGGTGTGGGGCTCAAGGACTACTGAATTGCTCTGCCCCCGACTGCAGGTTAGAACCCTACCTACTGTTTGCTGCCTTGCCCTGACCAAGGGTCTGGAGTTCATAGGCTATTGCACTGTTCTGCTGGCCAGAGGACTGACACGCTAGGTTTAGCTAATTCCCCTCCTTGGAGCTCACCTTTGACAGCAAGGAGGTATGGCCTCCCTCAGAAACTGACAGGGAGAGATGGCCACACAGCCTCCAAGAACCAAAATCAACAGAACTACACTAGAGTAAAAGAGTAACTCAGCGGTGAATCAGGCTCACTCTACACTATTCTCATATTATACCTTCAATATCAAGTCTTTAATCTGCCATCCCTATCTCTGGGCAGTTACATTAAGAGAAGAATGTTTGTCCAGCGTCTAATTTTGTCAGCCAAAAATCCATTATCTTATGATTACAGATGTTTGTTCCAACTGGTAGCATTTCATATTCAGCCTGTGTTAATATGGCAGCATGATGGTGAGGTGACTGAAATAACTGCAAAGATGTTAGGACATGAGTGGCCACTTTATTTCAATTACAGCCTGTGCACAATGTTAAGCAGAATCACTTCACCTGGGAGACTGTTGTGAAGGGAAAGAAAAAGCTCCTCCCTTTTGGGATTTCTTATGCTTGGGAGTAGATGGAGGTCCGGGGGTAAAAATCATATCTACTCTGAAAGAAGAAAAGAACAAGATATGATAAAAGTGTGCAAGGTCTTCTTTAAACATCTACAGGAAATTCTTTAAACATCCACAGGAAATGAAAACCACTTTGAATCCCTCCAGCAATCTCAAATCTCAACAGGCAAGGGGGTGAGTTCATTGTTAAGGTGACAGACTGGGCTTCCCAGCTCAGACACCGACTCACTGTGTTACCACAGATTTGTCACATAGGCCACAATTTTCAAAGTTAGGCATTTAAAAATAGCACCAACATCTATATTTATGTCATTAAATCCGTGGCTTGATTTCCAGAAATACCCCCAAAACAGATGATTTCAGTGAAGACACACTAATCCAGCTGCATGAGAACAGAATTTGTCTCCAGATTTACAATCCTCTATAATCATATTAATAATCCAGTACATTTCTGGAAGTTTTCCTATTTAAATATCATCATAGTTTTGGTTATTAATGAACTATTTTAGCGGTTTGAAGAAAATATAGGCCATTCAAGCTGTCCACCTGCTGAGTATTTGCCTGTATTTGGAACCAAACAGGATGGAATGTTTTGGAGGCTCTCACATATTCTATTAACTCATATTAAAATTACTTTCCCAGGTTCAAGCACTTCTAATCCTGAAGTGTTAAAGCGTAGCACCAAAGGCAATCCTGGTACTTCCAATATGACCAGAAGTGAAACACCTGGAAAGCTAAACCACTTGCTTTTCTGAAATTTCCATAAAAATTATGCAGACTCCTAAAGTTCAGATGAGTATGGGTAAAACTCTAAACTGAGATTTACAGAGGAGTGTATAAAGGAGTTAGCTATCCAATTCCCACATTGCCATCCAATGAGATTTAGGCTCCTATGTAAGTTAACTTTGAAAATGGGCTTAGGCAACTAGTTCAACCACAGCTTCCAGGATTGATGCAAGAATTACTTGGTGAAAATCCATGCCCTGCGTTATGTAGAAGGTCAGACCACATGATCTCAGTGGTTTCTTGTGGCCTTAAAATCTACAAAGTAGTAGATTCGCAAATAGCCATTGTTACATAATGTCAATAAAAGTGAGATAGGAACAGAAGACACTAATTATGCAGAACACACACAACAAACTTTATAGAAAAATAAATAATAAGCTGTGAAGTAGAAAGAAAAGAAAAGTGCAGCTTGTTTTTTTAAAAGGGAAGTTTACCCATCTCCAACCAAACTGTAGAGTTGAGCTGAATTTGCCTAGGTTAAGAGAGATCAAAAGAACACTAGAATAAACCCTTTTGGATTGCTCAGCTGTTCGTTTTTACCTAAAGATCTGTAACAGCTCCAGGCCTGATTCTTCATTATCGTGCATCTTTTGTCATCACTTACTTTACAACTATGCATATGTAACCCACACATCTAGAGGCCACGTCTAGACTGGCATGATTTTCCACAAATGCTTTTAACGGAAAAGTTTTCCGTTAAAAGCATTTGCGGAAAAGAACATCTAGATTGGCACGGACACTTTTCTGCAAAAGCACTTTTTGTGGAAAAGCGTCTGTGCCAATCTAGATGCGCTTTTGCGCAAAAAAGGCCTGACCGCCATTTTAGCCATCAGGGCTTTTTTGCGCAAAACAGTACTGTGCTGTTTACACTGGCCCTCTTGCACAAATGATTTGTGAAAGAGGGCTTTTGCCCAAACGGGAGCAGCACAGTATTTCCGCAAGAACACTGACGATCTTACATGAGATCGTCAGTGTTCTTGTGGAAATTCAAGCGGCCAGTGTAGACAGCTGGCAAGATTTTCTGCAAAAGCAGATGATTTTGTGGAAAAACTTGCCAGTCTAGACACAGCCAGTGAGTGTGGTCCATTATCCCATGTAGTGGCACTCAGACCACTTACAGAGAAAGATAAGAACAAGTGAGCTCTACTGCCTAAGACAAGAGTCAGGTAACTTCATAGTTCAAGCTGTAGTGGTTCCTTCACTAAGCTCCAAAGGTCCCAGGTTTGAATCTACTTGGTGGCAGCCACATTAAAGTAAACCTAAAATGTCACTTTCTGATTTGTCAGTGCTTACTTTTTAGCAGTTGTATAAATGATCACACAAGGTGCAGGTCAATAATGTCAAAGAATGGCTGTCATAGATTACCACTCCTACTTCAGTCTTATTTGTTTGTACAGATTAGAGGTGACTTGCCCAGTGTCACACAGAGACTCAACTGCAAACCTCAGAGTCATTTCCAGGGCTTCTGACTCCCAGTTGTTTGCTTTAATGCCTAAGCAATATTCTTTTCATACGAGGTTGAGACACTCCCAAACTATTTTTAAAGGGTGAGTTGAGAAACTGGCTCTTGTTGGATGCTAACCTTCCTTAAATGCCACCTGGATAGTTTAAAGATTCTATTACTGATGCTCAAAGGAACAACCTTTGTATACGTATCATTAGCAACATGTTGAGTGAGTCTGAGCTGTCTAGCAGCAAAAAAATAGGATCTTGTCAGCTTTTGCCCCCAAGCTATGAAATTCTCTCTCCTGGGACATTTGCGGGTGCCAATGCTGGCATTGTTTCGGCACCAGGCTAAAGCCAGCCACCCTTTTTACCTGTGTTCTCATTGGTGAGTTTTTGTACGTGTGTGTGTGTGTGTGTGTGTGTATGTATGTCCCTCTTCCTGAGGCGTCATAGAAGATTTTATGTCTCCCCCTTTGAGGTCTTGTATTTTATTCTTATATATAGTTTTAACAATTTTGTAAGCCCTTTGAATATTTTAAATAGCGAGGCGGGGTAAAAATATTTTAAATAAATAAATAAAATAAATAAACAGAACAATTGCACTTCCTCACCACATACCCAAAACTTCATTTACCACATTCTGCAGCAATCTTACCTTGCCTGAAGGTATTTTATTCTGGAAAGCATATCAAGGTGCCCTGCTGAATATTGCTCTATCACATCCTTTACATCATAAGGCCTCAAAGTCTCCTTGAATTTTTTTTTATAGAGACGAAACTGTAGTATTCTGTGGAGTAAATCGAACAATTATTAACCTCCTCTGTAAACAGTGCAATGGTCAATTATAGATGAAGCTCTAGTCGGGCAACATGCTTTGAATGATACGTAATTTAACATGTGGTATTACTTCATCTCACAACAATACAGGGAATACCTAATACTTCACCATTGTTAAGAACAGATTTCTTATTTTGCTGTTCATCATTATCCCATGTAAAACAAATGAATAAACAGAGCTTTCAAATGATGCCACACTAACATATATTAGCCAGTTTTAAACCAGTACCTTCTCTTGTGTTCATAAACTGAAAGTGTACGTGGGGGCACAATATATTACTATTCTGAGAGGCATAAATATTAAAATTTGTGAAAGAAAGTCCATTTGTACAGTATTTTCCTTTCTCACTTGTTGCACCTGTTAGTTTATATTAGCTTTACAGGAGAAAAATAACGAACAACCTCATCTCTAAGCTATAAGCCATCATTGGTTAATTTAGAGATGTTAGAGACCATACATTAACAGACAAGCCTTCAAAAGGGCAGTAAGATAACTTGCTCCCTGGAATGTCATTTCTTAATGTAATATAGCAATATGTCTAGGATGTCTCATAGAATATTTCTACATTGCAGTGAGGAACGAGCCTCCCAATCTAGGTAGACAGACATGAACCAGCTGGGCTCCAGCTGGTGTGTGAAAAATAGCAATGTGGATGTTGCAGCATTAGTGTAGTCATGGGCTAATCACCTAAACTTGGACCCAGGGAGTATAATGCTGTGAGATTGGGTGGCTTGTTTGGGCCTCTATCTGAGTTGCAATTTCCATAATGCTACAGTTAACACACTAGAGAGAGCCCCACTAACAAGTCTTTCTTCATCTGGCTTGCTCCCAGCTGCAATGTGAACATGTAGAGATGCATTTTAGCAACCACCCAGATGTCCAAGTCACTGCCAGTTTTGGAGCTGGACTACCAATTATTCTGCTTATTATATTTGGCCATTTAATAGACCTTTGCAGGAACTTAGAATAACTAAGGCAAAGTCAGGAGGAGGAGGCTGTGATCACATGGAGTAAAATTGACTTTATGTCCTCTCTGGGGTAAGCCTCTTTGAAAAACAGTTAGTCTATTTATATTTGACTTCTGGGGTGTCTATTTCAGGGCCCATGAGACTGCAGACTCTGCAAAAATACATCTATATAGCTAACATCTTAAAAAGTGCTTATTTAATGTTTCTTTTCTTTGATTGACATGCTGTTGATGTAACTAGCAGTTCCTACCATAAAAGGGGAAGACAGGTCTCAGGCATTTGGATTTGACTTTCTGGACATATCTTAGAATCCCCAACAACAGGTGCACAGCGGCCACTTGAATCTTGTCATTTAATCACTCAAGACCCCTTGAGACCATAGATAACTATTGTTTGGGGCTGCTTTATAACCTATTGTATTTGTGTGTGTGCTTGAAACTAAATAAAGCAAAAACTTTGAGTAATGGAATTCTTGTGAGAATGCTAGAGACTAATAAAGTGAAGGCTTTAATTGAAAACACTTAATTTTGTGTGATTTGTGCCAGCCACACAGAAGACAGAGGTGCTGCATCTCTCCTGGGTGTATTTCCTGATTCCTCCTTGCAGAGAGTAATGTTACTGAGAATTTGGGTTTAAAGAATCCTGGGTAACAGATGCACCCCAAGGGTACATATACAATGCAAAAAAAAAAAAAAGTGTATTCCTAACTTGGGTTTGCTAATTCAAGTTAAATAGCAGTAGAGGCACCATCCCACTTATCACACAAAAGATCCATGCCAGGGCAAGTGCTAGAATGCCTCACTCTGTTGAGCACGTCCTACATAGCAGCAATTCACCAGGGGTGTCCACAATTCTTTGAAACTCAGGTTAGCAGCTTGAGTCAAAGCCAACAGGGAAACCTGGGGTTTAATTTGAGCTGCTAACTTGAATTAAAAACTGAGTCACTGTGTCTTCACTACTGTTTGAATCCAGTGAGCTGACATGGGATTCCTTTTTGTGCAGTGCAGATGTGCCCTAAGTCAAAATTATAGATGGGACACCACATTCCCATGCACTCATTGACAGGGTGCACGCCTTATTTAAGGACACTTCTGAACATGACCACGTAGGGTTCTGCTACAGCTGCCAGCATATTCAAAGAATTGTGGACACCCCCGGTGAATTGCTGCTATGTAGGACGTGCTCAACAGAGTGAGGCATGAATCTTTCCCCTGGAAGATGGTTACGCTATGGTGAAGAATGAACAGTTATCAATGGTGAGTGCAAGTGCCAGGAGAATAGATTTTTCTGTGGCTTTTGTGTGATAAGTGGGATGGTGCAGATTGGCCAGATTTTCTGAGTGGGGGAGCAGCAAGCTGTCACCCGGCTGATTTCCTATCCTGGATGTGTGGTTTGCATTACTGACCCTTGGAATTATCCTTTACTGTCAGCACTGGTCCTCTGCAACATGTTTCTTGTGATACCAATCAACAAGCATCACACATCTCCAATTACAATCTGGCCAAATGTAGGCTCTGAGGTCTGCTGAGTATAAAAACTGAATTGGGGAACAGAGGGGACACCTGTATTGGGGTCAGCTGAAAGCTAGAGAATTGTGTGTCCATTCCTACCTTGGAGAGTAGGGGCTTTCCATGTTGAAAAACACCCATGAGATTAACATTTCTTGTAATTTTCAGTAGAAAAAAAATAACAGAAGGTGGTTTTCAAATTTAATTAAGAAAGCTTTGCTTGAAGAATGAAAATATTAAGATATCTTCCATGCATACCCAAATGACAAATTATGTTCCATCATCAGCAAACAATATTAGGATAAATCATAAAAAAATAGATTGAAAAGACCTATTAAATCTTCAAGGCCATTGGATAGCACTGAAGGACTGTTCTCTAAAATAGGGAACTGTTCTGTCCTGTCTCATGCAATTTGGAACAATTTACCAAGGATTCACCATATTAAGAATTTTAAAATCTAGATTGGCCATTTTTCTATAAGACATACTCTAGGAATTATTTTTGGGGAAGTTATCTGGCTTGTGTTATACAGAGGACAGACTAGATACCCATCACAATCCCTTGTTGCTTTGGAATTTACAATCCAGTTCCCAAATAATGGGGCTTCCACCAATTCGCTAGAAAAATTATTTCACAATCTAATAGATCTCGTTGCCAGGAACTTCTTCTCAAAATTCTGCTTACATTTTCTCTTCTTTTTAAACATGGTCCCATTCATCTTCATTATATCCCTTAGTACCAACCTAAATAATTCATCGGCATTACTAGTGTTTAAATACTTGAAATGTTTGTCGATTCATAGTGCCCTTCACTAAACATTGCTTAACCAAGCTGCAAATATTGAGCTCTTTTAATAGCTACTCAAAAATCATGTTCTCTCTCCCAGCCACCACACCATTTTGTTATTTTCTGTTATCTCTGGAACTGATCGACATTCAGAATTTTTGTTCTGTGGAAAGAACTGACATTTTGACATTTCTTTTTATCCTGAATCAGAATGAAAAGCCAATTCCCCACAAAAAAGTGAAAATTTTAACTTTATTGAAGGACTTTATTTCAACCAGTTCAAAGCACTTTATCATTTTGACATTTTATATGATAAATTAGGCAATATTGATATAAAAGTTCAAGTAAAAAAGTCAGAACAAAGTGTACTGACATTACTGAAGCGAAACATTAATAATTTTCATTTAATTTTTTTTAGAAACTGTTGAGTTTTCACAAAACATTTTAATTATTTTTTAAATCTGCATTTTCCTACTGAAAACACAACAGTTTTGCCTGGCTGCAGCTACATCTCTTGCAAGTTCCTACTATTATCTAATTCACTTCTCTAAAGACCCAACAATAATGAATTACTTGATGTCATGATTCAGTGACTTCCTCTAGGCCAAGCATCAAAGGTCAAAGCAAATACTGATGAGCATAAATATACCTGACAGCTCGGATAGCTGCCTTTAATGTGGGGATCATATCTTCCATGAGGAACTCATTACTATAACCCCTGTCTTCAGTCATGGGATCCCCTGCATCTGGTAAAGTAGATCAAACACGGACATGTAAAAATCAGACCACAATTTAGAGGCTTCTTTAAAACAATATTGGACTAAGTAAATAAGACAAACTAAATTCATTAAAAAATCACCCATGAGAAGTTCTTTTGGTTATTTTAGCCAGCATTTATCCTCTGAATAAGGTGATGTCCCACTGTGTTCTTCTTCATCCGGCAAAGAGAATGCAACGTTTTTTTATGGTTTCAGAAATTCTCCCAATATTTTCGTCATTTCATGAGCTATCTAGAACCTTTCTTCTTTTCATCTGGACTTAGGACCACCCCTTTTTCAGTTTTTAAGAACAAGTCATTGCTGAAAGAGTCTATTTAGTGGGAAATGAAGAGAAAGCTCTATTCTCACTTGAACTGGTTTTACCCCAGTAATACTTCACTGACTTCACCTGTGTGAGTGACTGATCATCGGGCCCTATGTGCGAACTCACAACCATTCATAATCCAGCGGAGATACTGTAGGTGGTGAGATTAAGAAGAGGAGAATTAGTTTTCAGACGTCAATGGGCCATCAAAAATTAAAAAAAAAAAAGCGAGAGAGGAAATGTGATAAGGAGACGTTGAAAGGGAAAATGCTCTATGCTTTATACTGCCTCTGGCAAGGACCATTTTATGCAAGGTTACAGCTGAAAGGCTGCCCTCTGGTGGTGAAGAACTACTTCCTCCTTTCTTCAGACTGGATTTTCCCCAGGACAGACCACGGTGGATGTAGGCATTCGGGCATTCCCAGGGCACCCACTGACTTCAGGGGAGTCGGAAGGATCAGGCCCACTGTGCCTTGCCCCCAATAACTCCAAAGCACTATTCCTGCCCTGTCTTGCCCCACCCCTCGTTGTGCCCAGACCCCTCCCCCAGTCCACCCCGTCACCCAAACCCACAAACTGCCTCTCCCACTCTGTTCTCTCCTTTTGCATGGGACTCTTTCTGCCCTCCCACGCCACACCTCCTGCACAACGATGAACTGACTGGCAGGGGGCAGAAGGCACTGGGGAAGCAGAGGAGTTGATCGGTGGAGCTACCAGCAGGCAAGAGGTGCTGGGGCAGGGGAGGTGCTGATCCATGGGGTTACTGGTGGGCGCCGAGCACCCACTATTTTTTACGTGAGTGTTCCAGGACTGGAGCAACCACAGAGTCAGTGCCTCTGCCAACAAGTGACACGTGTCCCCTGCTTGGCACAGATCCCCACTGTGCCGGGAGACCCTCTGCAGAGCACAGATGTGCATGTGTGGCCTGGGACAAGACGAAAGGATGTGCTGTATGTAGCTCTCTCCTTTAGGAGCTCACGCTAGAGCAGAGGAGCATTATTTCTGCCCTGCTGTCTTGAGGTGCTGTGACGATTCCTTCCTCCTTTCCCCGTGCACATGCCTAGTGCTGGGCACAGCTACATGGGCACAGCTGTGGGCTGAGCCTGTGGCCCTAAAATCAGAGGTTCTTTATAACTGAAGTTATAATTTGCAAGTTTCACCTGATCAACTGAGACCATTTGGGATTTTCATTCTATGGCACTATCAACTGAGCAGCAACAGAGGAGATGCCTGGGCACCAATCTGGACTAGGATGCTTCACAGGCAATTAGGCTCCATTGGCCCTACTGCACCTACTCTAACCCTGTATGAATTTTACGGCTCGTCTACACTGGCAAGTTACTGTGCTGAAACTTTCTCACTTTGGGGGAGTGGAGGAGCGTGTGAAAAGCCACTTCCCTGAGTGCAGCAAGTTTCGGTGTGCAGGTTGTAACTTTCTTAACCGGAATTCTCTGGTTCAGCAACATCCATCGTCTGGCAAGGACGTTGCAGGATCAGTGTCCTGGTGTAGGGCCAACAGCAAAGACCCCTGCAGGGCCAGCAGGGCAGTGAGCTGCCCACAGTGAGTTGATGGTGGGGCCGCCCAACACGTGACAGTGGGGCTACCCAGTGCGGTTGGGAGACTCAGAGTGTGGCTGCCCGGCAGGTCCCAGAGCCCTGGGAGCTGTGGCTTGGTGGGACAAGGAGCCATGGCAACGATTGCCTGATGGGTCTCAGAACTCTGGTGCACGGTGGCAGCTGCCCAGCTGGTCCCAGAGACTGGCAGAGATTGCTGCTCAGCAGTGTCGGCAGGGCAGCAGGGCCAGCAGGAGGTGGAGAGCTGGGCAGGAGGCCAGTGGACCAGACTTGGGGGGCTGGTGGTAGGGGTTCAGAGATGACCTCCCCTGGTCCAGCAAAATCCCTCATCTGGGACCAGTCAGGTCTTGAGGGGGCCAGACCAAGGAGGTCCAACCTGTAGTAAGGTGTCAGTGTAGACAGGCTCTCCAGTTAGGGAAGTGAATGGTTAACCAGTAAGCCTCACCGTTACTGGGGAAAGCTTACTGGTTCCAGTTAACTGGAGGGGGCTGAAGCAGCTTCCCACGTGCTGTGGTCAGGGGGTTGCTCCAGCCCCACAGGGTCTGCCACAGGTGGGGGACACTCCAACCCGGCCAGAGCAGCCCCTATCTCCACCCACCCCTCTTTAATGAGTTAACCAATTAAATATTGCATTGAACTAGGTAAGTGATGAAATGGGAGTTTACGTCACTATTCTCAGCATTGGGAGCTATGCCCCTTGTGGAGGTGGCTTTCCTAAAGCGCTGGGGGAGTTCTTGCATTGTGGCAGCATTTTAATGCTAGTGTAGACAAAGCCTGAGATGCTGTCACTAGCAGCTGAAAGAAGGTGTGAAGAAAAGCAGTGCAGGGTCAGGCTTACTGTAACCCACACAGTCTCTCCTGTGAGTTGCTACTCTTGTTACACTGGTCTGGTGACACATCAGGGTAAGACTCAATGAGCCAAATTCACAGATGATGTGTAAGGAGCTGGGTGTCAAAGTTACGCATTAGACAGTTCAGAGAAGTCTGAGGGATTCTATGTAAGTTTTACGTGAGTTTAAGTCACTGCAAGAAGCACGCTAAGGGTCTGTCTACACTTGCACCCTCTTTCGATAGAGGGATGCAAATGAAGACATTTGAAATTGTATATGATGCTGGGATTTAAATATCCCATGCTTCATTTGCCTAATTGATTTGTTATGGTGCTATTTCGAAAGAAACACGCTATGTAGACACGTTATTTTGAGAGAAGGATTTTCTCTCAAAATAACGTGTCTACATAGCGTGTTTCTTTCGAAATAGCACCATAACAAATCAATTAGGCAAATGAAGCATGGGATATTTAAATCCCAGCATCATATACAATTTCAAATGTCTTCATTTGCATCCCTCTATCGAAAGAGGGTGCAAGTGTAGATATACCCTGAGCAAAGCTGGAAAAGAGTGTAGAGTATATACTAGCTTTGGGTATCACTAGACTTTCCTAGCTCCATGTAATCACTCCCCCTGAGTTCTCATATTTCCGCGCTGACTTTAAGTGGGTTCTAGAGAAAACAGAACATAGTTGGTTTTGAGGAATATATGCACTTTATTTTGAGCAGTCTTTTGCTTAGATTCCAGCATTATTTTCCAACTCTTCTCCAAATGTTCCATAAATTCTCTATGCAAAGGCAAGGAGTAGCTGAGCTGGGTTTGCCACAGTTTATTTTTAACAGGATTGATTTGTTATTTTCAAGGTCATGATGACTCAGAAGGAGATGGATAAAAAAAAAGGCATGGTAACAGGGTGAAGGAATCTGGAAAAGGTAAAAATGAATTAATATAGATGCGCTACCTTCTGAGCTTTGCCAAAAGGCGTATGCTTTCATTCGGAATGCAGTGCGAAAACGCTCCTTATTATTCAAGCCAACATTCTTAGGCTCTTTAGAAGGACTTTCTTCAATGGCATCTACATTCAGAGGGGTAAATAGCTTTCCTTTAGTATTGGTACCACGAACCCGATCCAAGAGACCCAGCTTTTGGCTACAAAATAAGCAAAAGTGATCAATTTTCCTCCATTAATGCAGACCAGTACACTTTAACTTGCTTTCACGATGCTTTTAACATATTAGATCCCAAATAAATGTTCCACATACAAGAAGAATACTGATAGAGCTATGTAATACATCACTGTCATTGTAACTAACAACTAGATTTATTTGAGAATTCACTGGGGTTGGTTTTTTTTGGAGGGGAGACCATAATATCAAAGCAGCCAATGTTACAATCCCTATCTACCTACTCTCTCTTGCTTCTGTTCCATTAATGTGGCTGACATGCCCGCTTTATCATTAAGACAACAAAACACCAATATTTAACCAGCATCATCCTCTGATGGTAGAGAGAATTGGCCTTTTCAGGTCAGTGCTCTCTTTAAGTTCTGGATCCATGGTAGACTATTAAATGAGCTACCGGTGTAATACTGAATGAGAGAAGTGTGAATGTGTGCTAGACTGAGAATAAATTATCTTCACTACAGCAGAGAACACAAAGACATTCCTGAGCAATTGTTCCGTACATGGCACTTCAGGATAGCCGGTTCCCGCTCCTTTAATTCCAGTCAATATTCATGGTAGGGAAAATGAGGATGGTGTTTACTGATTGATAAGAATTTAAAACAGCCCTTTTCTGACATTAATGCCATGAAAATGTATGTTCTTTAGGGACACTCTGTAGTTGGACCACACCAGCCCTTCCATGCTAAACTTTGGACAGGTGAAATGTCTATATTGATAACGCAGGAGATTACTAAAACTGCTTATGGCAGCATAAAGTTATTTGCCATATGTCATGCCCAGTGAAAGACTGAATAGGTGTCAGGCCCTAACTGAAAATGTATTTGGCACTCCTAAGGGATTCTCCTATAATGATTAAAGTATGGGGTAGTATGTGGGACAAACACAGATCCATGAAAACTGAACTACGCTCATCTTTACTAGGTGAGGCCATGAAGACAACAGGAATGTAGAACATAGGACTGGAAAGGGTGTCCTGAGTCACCAAGCCCAGTTCCTTGCTATCCCAGGTCACACAATTAGCATACTATTAAGTCATACAATCAGCACATGTTATTCCACATGGGCATTATAGTGAAGGGTGAGTGTAAGACATTTCACTTTTATCAAATTACTGTGGCCCTCAACTGTCTGTGTGTATTGCTAGGGTGCCTGTCCCAGTCAGTAATATCCCAGAGAAAGGGATGTTATTTAACAAAGATCCTTGTATGGAGATGAGTTTTACAGGGATTGATCATTTTTCTTGAACAGTATTGTCAATGTGAACACCATATCTGTAGCCCAGTGAGATAAAACAAATGTATTGTCAGTACCTTAGATTTTGATATGTAAAATAATAATGAAAACCATTCTGTGCAACTCCCCCCAGATCCTCGACCTGCCTTACAGTTTCATAGCAGAGATTAATAGCTATACAATTTTTTTCCTGCCAGTATGGACTTTCCCCATTGATTCCTGGTCTGTATTTATAGTCACTCTGGTGATGAATGTCTGTATTTCTCTATGGGAGCTTAAAGTAGTGCCGCAGTTGACAGCAGGGGTGTTAAAAAAGTACATGTTTTGATCAGCTGGGGGATAATTTGGTCTCTGTTGAAAATTACAGAAGCCTTGGGGCTACTCTAAGTTGCACTGGTGGTAGTATCTCCCTAGAGGTCTGCCAACCCAGAATTACTAGAATGCATCATGCTCAGACTTTTAACTCAGGGAGGGTTTGAAAGAGCAGAGAAAATGAAGTTGAAGTCAGTAAGATCGCTTGGATGAGTCCTGCATATACCCGAAGGGTTACATTGCAGAGTTTCTGTTTGCTTATCTAACTAACATACAAAAGCACAGTTCTCAGGAGAAGCTGCTTTTATGAAGAGCCTTAAGGGAAAAGAGGGCACCATTACAGCAGACCCCTCAAAGAGGATTCCAGGAGCGCAGACTGAAAGGAAGAAGATACAGAAGTGGGTTTGGAGACCAGGATGAGTCAGATGAGTAACTTGGACTTAACAATCATGGAGAAATAAGAAGTATTTGAAAGGGAAGTGGAGAGCTTGTATCTGATGCAGGAAGAAAAAAAACTGAAGCTATTTAAGTGAAGTTATTTTAAAGAGGGTCTGAACAGGGTCAGAGCCGGGCAAGGCGGAGGATTTTTGCAGCAGAGTTTTAGACAGAATGGAGGGGAGATTCCAGGAGGAAGATGTTACAGCCATCAGGGGATGAGGTCAGATGGAAAGTGGTGCTGAAATGAGGTTGGCTTTCTCCTTTGTTCAAAGCATCCTATGGGCATCGATCTCTGGTGAAGCAAGCTTCTCACTTACCTTCCTAAGGATGACTAACCTGCATAAGCTAAAGAGGTTTGCTCTGGGGGAGCACCCTAAGGTCACAAGCTGTCTGCAAAGCAAGTGTTCTAGCATGGGACAGCCAAATGTTCAAACTCAGTGCCCAAAGTAAGGCATCATAATGAGCGGCCTCATTTCAAATTACTCTGAGCACATGTCATTCCCATGAACCACAGGTACCCAGTACCTCTAAAAAAGCAGGCCTCCAGATGCCTAGATATGGAGTTAGTTGCCTACCTTTAGGAACGCCAGTGTGTGCATTTTGGCCTGGGCTCCCTCAGGATGTTACTAGTAAAGAGCCCAAACAATTAAGTTTAAGCCAAGTCTTTTTCAAAGTCCAGGGTTGTTCACGGGTCGTGCTTTCGTTTGGGACCATCTAGATTTTCTAAAACTTACTCATTTTGGTTGAGTCAAGGCTGTGAGAAATTCTGATGGGAAGCATGAAGTTTCTGGCAAAGGTGCTGAGTGCTGAAAAAGTGGCAAGTGGCAAAGATTGTGTGGTATGGGGACTTCTTCAAATATCCATAGTGGGTCAGAGGAGGGCTTATTCTGAAAACTGGGAGGGACATGTGTTTGAACTGGGCATGAAATACGTGTTGGTTAACTATGGCCTCCATGTCCATCTAAACTCCTCAGGCCTATCCAGAAGCATGATGGGCTCTTAGCCTTACAATTCAAATGGCAGTGTTAATTGGGAATTCCTCTTATCGCAGACAAAAGGGTTCTCCTGTATTATCTCCAGTTTGCAGATGGGGAAGTAACTTGCTCAAGGCCACGGAAGGAGTCAAACGTTGGATTTGGAATTTCAGCAATTTTAGAGTTGTGCTCACTGAACTAAACGTCAACTTTCTTAACAGAGCAGATGGAAGCATTAGCCTGACTGATTCTGTGAGACTGTGACCACCAGGAAATGGAAGTGTATTGGGACACAGCTGCAGAAACCACAGAGCTTATCTCAGGATTTTTTCTAAATTTGGAGTTAAGAATCCCTGCAATGGTTGTCTCAAAACAGAAATCCTCATTTTTCCACACCTCCCTTCTGGAATTTAAAATATTCCTCTCCAGTCAGCATAACAAATTACTTATTTGCAGCAGTGATCTCAACTGCACACGTCCACAGGATGCTTTCTCTCTTTTATTCATGCCAAAAAATCTAATTCTAAATCTTTTCCAGATTCTTCTTGTAGGACAAAGTTCTACTCTCTGAATCTATAACCCAGCACTTTTATTTTTTTTAAGTCCTTCATTTGGATTCATTCTCCAATAACACCCCTGGTAGGGTGTAATCTGATGGAGAACTCTCAAACTAGTAGCAACACTTGCTACAATATTAAACAATTTCACAACAGATACTGATATTCATGTCTGAACTAGGGCTACTACAGCAGTATAGACTATTCAGAAAATCATGTGCCAATTTTACTTGAAAGAAAACTTCCTCAATTTACAGTGAGTTGTGCACAAAAACTTTCTGGATTTCTTTGCAGATAAAAAATTGTCTGTCATCAAACAAGGAGTGGGCATTGTCTCAGCATTTGGATCTATTAAAAAAAGGCCTGGAAATATTTTCTCTTATTACATGATCTCCTTCATGAACACATCATGCGCATGACTCCATAGCAATGTATCAAAGCATGCGGAGATCGCATCATTCTTCATGAGTTTGACTAGGGCAGTGGTTCCCACAGAATGCTGCTGGCAGAGCTCAGGCTTCTGGCATTGGTATTGGAGCGGTTTTTGTCTCCTTGACCTGTGGTCCCATAGCACATTCCTCCCTTACACAAAATTCTGATTTGGGGTCGAACTTCTAAGAACTTTCATTGTAAAGCCTCAACATGACGTGGTTACAGAATGAAGATCTTCATGACAAACCTGACCACCTCCCATTCAACTGTGCACACCCCAAGCTGTGAGGGAATCTCAACTGCTCCAAACCTCAGTCTTGTGGGACTAAGCAGGGTGCCAGGTTAGATGCACCGATGCTCCACTGTGGATCATATCAAACTTCTGAATGGGAGGCAGGTTGACATGGGGCTCTGCGGCTCAGCACAAAGGTCAGATACTCAGTTCACTGATTCAGAAAAATTCTGCCTTCAGATTCTCACTTGCAACTTCCATTGATTTCCCTGTGAATTGTGCTGCAGTTTCTCAGAGTGGAATGTGGTTGTTGAGTGTGCGAGGAAGGGTTAGGGGGTCATTGGCCACTGCAGTTCAGGTTTTACATTCACTCTAGAAGGGTGGGAACCACTGAACTAGAAGATTACCTCCAGAAATGATCATGCAAGAGAATAAAGCAATTTCATCCCATCATGCAAGTCAGGCACTCTCCTCTCTGGGATGATTCTGTTGAAGTATATGTGTAGGGTTGGGTTTTTTTGGGGGGGAGGTTTGCACCTAATATTGGAGTTTCATAAACTGCCAATATTTCTGCAAGAATGAAGAAAAACTAAGTGATAACCCTTACAATGGACCACCAATATCCTCCCTCTTATCTTTATAATTATTATCCCAAAAATAAAATAAAATAAAAAGATCCAGTCAGAAACTCTTCTAATGCATTTCTCAAAAATAGTTCATAATCATATTTTAAATGTGTTTTGCAGCCTCAAATAACTGGAAGCACACGGCAGTCATGCTTACCCCA